AAAGAGATTAATCTAGCAACCAACAAAACCTAAACATAGGACTGGCACACCTTTTCCAAGGTGTGGTGAGAATTCAAAAAACCTCCCATGCTTTTTAGAATACAATGATGCTTGAGCCATGAGAGGTGGGTGGGGTTTGCAAGTTCAAGAACTCACCTTGGGCTTGTTCTCTCTCACGGAAGGATAGAGACTGCAAACTCTCTAATGGTTCTTCATAAACCCAAATGAAGGCGTCTCAAATTTCCACAGCACATAAAAATCTAGATTGTTGTGGTTGGGGGCCAAATTAGTGGCTGCCAACCTAACGCTAAACATGGATCTCCATAAGAAGAAGTGTAATTGCTGTGATTGCCAGTGATCTAGCAAGCAAGCATTAGCTCAATTGCGGCAGAGCATCTAGGTGAGTTAAAAAGAATGGGTACAAGGGCAGGACACATAAATGACACATGTCAGATGCTTATGTTGCCTTGTTTGAAGCCAATGAGCACTGGAGCTGTGCTGGTCTCCCATTGGCCAGGGCTAACATCAGGAAAATTTTTCATGCAACCATGCAAACAGAGCTTGGCCTGGGCCTGGGATACAATGGCTGGCAGGCCTCCTTGCTAGAGGGAACCATTCATATTGGAGACCCACAGGCATGTGCCGGCTTGCTTCTCATCCAAATTTATAGACTTTCCTAAAACACTTCCTAGTATATTCCAATTTATTCTACCATCTAATGGTTGATAGACAATAAGATAAATCTTGTGTTTATAAATTATAAACATACATTTGATCAATTGAATTGAATAACACAACTATTAAATAAACCAAGCATTATTGTATGCAACACATAGCAAATAATTTAATTATCAATATCAGTTTTCATGTAGCTCTCACAAAAACAAATTGGTTTGAATAAAATGAAATTAAATACATATACATGTTCCAACATAATTCTTTTATGTATAGCTATAAATCTGGAATTGATAGTTATCAATATATATAACATTTATGCAACTAAAATCAACCTGGTTTTTATTATACATAACATATAATTTTCTTAAGTATATTTTGAGACTATAATTGATAAACCCTAAACCATATCAATTATAGTCTCAAAATATACTTAAGAAAATTATATATAAAAATTATAGTTCTTTGAAGTTTTATTCTGAAAGTGTAATATAATATAATTTTCAATATAGACAATGTTGTGGTGTATGTAATACGAAACTAGAAGACAATATTGTTTTTAGTGTAGATGTTATATCATTCTCTCAACTACTATAATAAAACTAGAACAAAATATAGTTTTTAGTATAGATAATATTCTGTTGTATTATATTATACAAAATTGGAACATAATATAGTTTATCATATAGACAATATCAACCAATATTTTCAAACTGGAAAACAAAATTTATGAAAAAAAAATTTATTATATGAATAAGTTGCAGTTTATAATACCTTGAACAATAGGCTAGTATGGTATGGAAGTGTGTTGTCTTCCTTCCAAAACCCATTTTCAACTACATATAAAGGATGAATGGTGTATTTTCTCCTTGACAATATTCTTTTGACATTGCACTATTTTGGAAACTAATGATGTCTCTAACCAGAACTTGTCTAAAGAAATTCCCATACTCTTTTAGTAAGATAAATAAATTTATATTACTACTATTTAGTATAGGATGTTGAGTAAGGCTTTTTCTGCCTGCCTTTGTATTCTCACCCTTGCTTGCAAAACAATGTCAAATAGACAAAGACAAGAACATAGAAGGAGAGAAAAAAAAAGAATGAGAAAATAGATTATAGAAGAATTGAGCCTCAAACTCTAAAGGCGTAAGTAAGGATAAGTATATGTCACTCTCTCAATTCTACAGTCATAAACGGGAGAAAAAATGGTTAATTTAATGCAAATGCATACAACAGTGAGTGGGAGATTATTATCTAGCATGTCTAAGTGTTATTGATTTTATAACCATTCCCAACTACTTCTCGCATATATCAGGTCTTTCTTCTTTGGATGTTTAAACTTAAGTGTAACTCTATTTCACCTAACTTTTTTTCTCTGCTCTGCCTAGGAAGATATATAAGAATAAAACATTTTCCTCTTCATCAAATATCCTCTCCTAATGCTATATATAAACTCCATCCACTTGGCTGGTACCTCCGTTATATATCAGTTTCTTCCTGGATTTTGACTATATCACCTATTGCCACTTTTATTGGACTATCATTGTTGAAGACACCTCTTGGAAAAACCATATCCAAAATCAAATGGAAGTGGTTCTAAGTGTGGCACAATAGAAACCTTTTTGGAGTATAATATCCATTGGTAGGATGCAAGTGTGATCAAACTGAACAATCCCTAGAGCTAAAACATGCCAATTAGTATAGTGATCCACTACTAGAGCTTCTCTTGGGTAATTTCAATTTACTTTTTTTCATTATACACCACTTTTGGCACTAAAAATATTTGTCATGTCTAGTACCAACTTTCCTCCCAGTGGCTGACCAACAGCCCTACATATGAAACAACATAAGCTTAAGAAAAAAAGTAAAAAGAGGACTTACATCTTGTTAGAAGGTAGCAATAGGCAATCTTCTAACTCTTACTCTTACTACTCGAAGTAGACTGTTTGTTGCCATGCAATTCCAACATTTGCATTACTCACAACTGGCACAAGCTAAAAACTTTAACACCACATCCTCCATTTTCTACAGCTCAAAGCAAGCACTAAGAGTGAGATAACAAAACCATTGATTGAGGTATTAAAAATAATTATCTTATTAAACATATGTGGTAATGGTAGAAGAATGTTTTTTACTTCTACTTGACACTTCTTCATCCTTGGATTTTTCTTTTTCTGTTGTTATTCTTGCAACAAGACAAGCATCATGATGGAGGGATTAGCAAAGTAAAACTTTCAATACTAGTAGCATGTTTAAGTTCTTGTTGCTCTTTAGACCATAGCAAAGATTGACTCCTATCTAGACAAGTACAATACAAGGAAAATAAGTTAGAACTGAAAAGGCTTTTTTATTTCTCTATTTACTCACTTAAGTAGACAACTTGGAAGAATACTCATCTTTGTCCTAGATTGTACACAGCCATCTAAGCCTTATAGATAAATCTAACTTATTTCCTTGGATGGCCTCCAATCACTTCAATGCTTGTCTTAATTGTGGACTCTTGTCCTTGGTCTTGTAATAAGTTGCAATGCTAAGCTCAAAGAAAATCAATGCATTCCCAAACTATTGCAAGTTTATTAATGCTAGAGACCAAGAATATCAATAAAGGACCAAGAATTATCAAGATTGCTTATTGTCCCTAATATGTACTACAATTCTAGAAACCTTAGCCCCCACAATAGCATTCTAGAATGGCAAAGCCTTGCGACACTCTCCTGGAGGAGAAATCCCTAGTGCCATGGTCTTTAAGCATTAGAATATTCATAGAATCTCCCTGCCTGAATTAAAATATTCATCCATTAGCTCAATCAGCTGACAATATGCAGTCAGGATACATCCAAAATTGGCTTGGCACCCAAAATGAAGAGTTGGGCGATACATTGGGTCAAATTTATCAGTTCTAAGTGTGGTTGATAATAATGCATAACAAGAATTAACAACTATCACTAAAGTAGTATAGAATCAAATTATCATTTCTTCATTTAAAATGAACAAATATCCATAAAAGTTTGACATAGTAACCTTGAAATAAATAGTGCAACTACTACTTGAATTAAAGCTTTCTTTTGCCAACACAAAGTGATACTTTAGAAGTGAGAAATACATCTACCAATTGCCAAATTCATAAAAAATTGAAATTGTGAAGGCCTTAAGTACATTGCTAAATAGGCTGTGAAGTTTGGATAGTTGATCATTTTTAAAGAGGTTTGGTCCAAAAATACTTAGGACTACCACAATAATATTTACTAGAAAAATATACTAAAACTATATCTATTTCCAAAATATATTGTGAATCATTCTTTATTTATAACAATATATGTAAATTATACTAAAACTTAAGTGCATAAAAAGACCAAAACATTATTCCAAAATTACTCTCTCCATTAGTTAATTTTAAACTTTATCTATATCGGTGAATTATATAGAAACTATAGAAACCACACTGAAAACCACTCCTAGACTGATTGTCAAATAGCATATAAATAATATTAAAAACCAGATTTGTTATGGTCCCAAACTAGAGTATAACTGAATTAAAAAAACATTCCCAAAACCAGTGGTATATATAGATTTTTCTAGTTATTTTTAAAAATATTTTCTGTAATGTAGCATAAAATTTTATATACTTTATTATGAATTGAGAAAATTTATAAGAAATATTTATCTTAATAAAATGACTCAAAAGCATAAACTTATAATATTATCAGAGAATTTGATAAATTATAACTTATGAGCTATAATTATGAAATATATTAGTAATATTATGTACCTAAAAATAAGGTTAAAAAATAAAAAGGACATTCTTAAAAACGTACTGGATATTTCAATTTATGAAAATTTACAATAAATATTTAATTTTAGGAATGTGTGACGACTGAAATTTAGAAAATCAAAATTACACGAGCCTAGAGTCGGAGCGTGCAAGGCCTTAAATGCGAGAAATGATTGTGGAATTCCTTGAATCCGCAAGAGATCTTACGCTGGATTCGGTTATGATTCTAGCTAGCGACAATCACTGACTGACGATGACCACTCTCAAAGCGAGGAAGGAAGAACGATGCCCATCGAATTGAATGTGCGACTTGCTATATAGGAATCCGTATGGAGTCCTTACCGCAGTATTTTCTTCTTGCTTGCTTGGTCGGTCTCTCTCTCTCCATCGCTCGTGTGCCGTGCGTGCGTGCGTGCGCTCTACCTACGAGATCTTCTATCTAATCCCACGGGCACCCACTTTAAAATCGCGAATCCACTATATATCTGCTTGGTACTCCCCTCCTTCGATCGATCAACCGATCGATCATTCGTTCGATCGCGAAATCATCATGTCTGCTACTGCTACTGCTGCTGCTGGTACAAGTGATTCGAGCGCGCGAGAATCACCACCTGGGCCAGCGGCGGCGAATCGGGGCCATGCGAGGAAGAAGAAGATCAGCAGGAAGAACAGCGAGTACCGGGGCGTGAGGCGGCGTCCCTGGGGGAGATTCGCGGCGGAGATTCGCGATCCAAACACGAAGGAGCGGCGGTGGCTGGGGACGTTTGATACCGCCGAGGAGGCGGCGCTTGCCTACGATGTGGCCGCTAGGGCAATGCGAGGGATTCGCGCGCGCACCAATTTCGTCTTTGATCAATCTGATCGTTCAGCGGTGGCAGCAGCAGCAGCAGCAGCCGCGCCGCGATCTTCCTCTTCTTTCTGCGGGATCTCGAAATATCCTTCCTCTTCCAGTTCTTCGATGATGATCCAGCAGCAGCCCGGCGGCGCCAAGAGCCCCAAGCAGGTGGAGATCGAGCAAGTCCTGGAGAAATGCCGCATCTATCAGCTCCAGATCCAGAGCAAGAACATCCAGCACGATCAATCGAGGGAGCGCGCAATGGCTGGTCCGGACTTCCCCCTTGCCCGCGACGACGACAATCTCCTCCAGATCCTCCAGCAGCCATCGCCTCAGCAGGAATGGGATCTCGGGGCGGCGATTGGTTTCTCGACCCAGGAACACGAGATGATCGATTACTATGGCGAATCGAGCTTCTACTGTTTAACATAGAAATAAAAGAGTTTTTAGGGCTCTTGTGTATTGAGTAGTCGAGGTCATGGCGCCCGCGGCTACCACGGCGATCGCGTCGGCTTCCACCACAGATCGCCTCCTCCGCCGCCAGCTTCCAATGGTATGCACTTCGATTTCTGGGGATTTTTGGCGAAATCTCGAAGATTATAGCTGCCTTGTTGGTGAGGATATTGCCGAGGCCTATACGTAGACAAATGTATATGTCTGGTGTGCCTTAGATTGTTTACTGAGGCGCTGGAAGAGCTACACCGGCTGTGTTTCTCTCCCTCTGGATCAAGGTGAGCGTTTGATTCATAATTCTCAAAGTTTGTGATCGTTTTTTTTTTGTTTTGTTTTTGCCAGTAGACCACTTTGGGACATTGTGACACATATGGTAACGTCTGTGCCACTTCCCACTCCTGGACACAGCCAAGTGTTGTTTTCGCTGGAAAGCCGTGAAGAGCTATCTATCTGTGTATAGATATTGCTTGTTATTCCCTACTTCGCTGCTAGTGCTCCCAGGATTTGCTTGGAAGCAAGTTCCCGGCTTGTAATGTGGTGGAAAGAAGAGCAAAGAAAGCCACCGTGTGATCGAGGAGAGCTTCTGGAGGTAAGGTTTTTTTTTTTCTAATTTGCTCGGTTGGCTCTATTCCCAGTTCTCCATGTTTTGCTATTGTTTGGTTTCACAGTCCCATCTTCTGGAAAATTCGCCGCTCTCTGTCTGAAGGTGACAATATTTCTTCTCTCACTCACGCTATACACTTCGTCAAGGCGGAAGCACGGAGGCGTGAAGTGTTACAACAATGCTCTTTGCAACTCCTGCGTGTAAGACTTGCCTAGTCTGTTTTTCTCAATATTGAATTTTCTGCCCTTGCCTAGTGGAACCCAAAGATGTAAAACACATCAATCCGGAGCAAGAAGAGGAAGAACGAAGTGGCAAAAATCTCCGTATCATTGGTATAGAGGACAATGTCTTGCCAGAATCTTCCGAGGCTGAAAAGTTTCAAGCGGCTTTAGCTTACTAGAATCTTGTTGTAGCGGAGCTCGGCCAACAACAATGTGCTTACGCTGCATTTGTTTTTCAGCCCCTTTTCGGCTGTGGTTTGCCAGTCCGGCGGAAATCTTCTTTGCTGCGACCATTGTCCCCGCGTGTACTATCTCCATTGCCTGAGCCCCTTCAAAGGCAAGGAAATGGTTAAAGACGGTGCGCTCTATCTATAAGTTGTGGCGTGGCGATGTATAGAAGAAGAATGGCAGAAACGGTAACTGCGAAGAACCACTGAAACTTCGAAACCACTGAAAAATCGCATAAGCTAAGCAGAGATTACATGATCAAAAGACTTCTCCATTCGTAAATTAATCCGCTTGGCCAAAAACTAAGCCCTGGCTTTAATAATCGCAGAAGATGGCGGAAGAACTCTAGGTGAGAGTGAGCAATGGCACGCGTGTCGCTTGAGGAGCTCTTGCCGGATCCACGGATTGTTTTCGGGGATGAGAGCTGGATCAGCAAGCATCTCCCAGATCCATGGAAGAATCCGCGGGCTTCCTTGGCGGGTATCTGGAAGAGTTACTGGCGTACAGGTAAATCCTTTTGTTGTGTCTGTTGCTTGCGCATTGCGAGTCGCTCAATTTGCAGTGGCGACTTCGACGGCAGGCGGCCAGGCGGGATCCTCTTCCTGTGCGCCAAATGCTATTACGACATGTATGCTGCGCTAGACGAGAAGCTTGAACAGGTCGACCATGATCGAGAGAGCTACGTTCTCTACGGCGTGTTGCTCAATCGGGGATACCGAGTGTCGTTTTACAAGTGGGAGCGGCATCCTGATGGCACGGTCACAAAGGTGGTGTGCCACACAATCTACACTTTCAGGCGTCCCTACGAAGTGCGTGAGATAATTGGGCCAACCATTCGGGGCATGCTCAACGAGGTGCAGGACAACAGCGAGCTCGAAGTTCTTGAGGGTGGCATACATGTCAAGGCGCATTCCGAAAGTGAGAGGGCGGATCCAAAGTGGCTTGACTACCCTGCTATAATGTTTAAGCCCTCAATGTGGCGACTCAATGGAGAAGCTCCACCCGGGGTTTCATATCTGTGAACATTTACAGCTGCAATGCTGAAGCCTCGTCCTCACACCAAGCAGCTCCTCAACCATACAATAACCGTGAGATATCCTATAGGAGGAACTACCACCTTTTATCAGTTTGAAATGGAAAGGGATGGAGACCACTAAGCAGAACGTCCACAACTGATACAATATCAACACCACACATTTTTAACATTTCGAAGGCACAGTATTCATGGTTCATTATAAGAAATCCTTTTTGTAAAAATGGTCCCAAGAATTATAAGATTTCTCTCCAAAATCTCAGGAGCAAAGTCGTGAAGAAATGTCGCATCTAAGATCCACCCAAAATATAAAATTTCTTGCCCGTGACGACGACAATCAATGGGATCGACGAGATGAGATAGAGTAGAAATAAAAGGTTACCTCGAAATTTTTAGGGTTCTTGAGTATGATGCCATGGCGAAGTTAGTGGAGTATTTCCTCGTCTGCGGCCTCGGTCCAGAGGTCCAGGCATCGAATGGCGCCCGCGGCTACCACGGGAGTTCCGGCGTCTCCTATAGTCCATCGCTGCTGGATCAGTTCCCTCCGGCTTCCACAGATCGGCCTCCTCCGCCGCCCCAACTTCCAATGGTATGCACTTCGATTTCTGGGGATTCCTAGCGAAAAATCGATTTTCTTAGTGCGTTCTACCGGGTGGAGTGGCATTTCATTCGACTGGATTCATAATCACGGACGAATCGAGCTATCCTCGCAGCTATCCAATTATCTTAACTGGTAGTGTTGATTGTTTATTCCTCTTACAGTCCTATCTTGAGTGCTCTAGACGGCGATGGATCTAAGATCTACGTTAGCTGCGTTGCCTTTCGAGATCCAGTTGATGAGGATATTGCCGAGGCATACCGCATTCCTGCGAACTCATACGTAGACAAATGTATATGTCTGGTGTCACACTCGCCTTGCTTTAGATTGTTTGCAGAGGCGCTGGAAGAGCTTCACCGGCTGTGTTTCTCTCCCTCTGGATCAAGGTGAGCGTATGATCTGTTATCTCTTCGATTCAAAGTTTGTGTTCGTTTTTTTTTTTCTTTGCCAGTAAACCACTCTGGGATATTGTGGCACATATGGTAACGTCTGTGCCACTTCCCACTCCTGGACAGAGCCAAGTTTTGTTTTCTCTGGAAAGCCGTCTTCTGTGTATAGATATGCCTCCGAAGGGCGGTTTTCCTCACGCAGACGTACGATTTCCATTCACAGGACACTAAATTTTTTACTAACCATTGGAGTTTTGGTTTGCAGATGTCATTTCAACCTCTCCTACAATGCTTGGATGTAGATAATGTTTTGCAGCTCTTTGTTTCTATTCTTCTTGAGAGACGGGTTCTTCTTCGGGCTAACAAGTAAGATGACGTTGTAAATGTTTCCATTTTATCTTTTGGTGTTCGGTACAGGCTTTCGTTGTTGACAATGGTTGCGGAAGCTGTATGCCATCTTATCTATCCAATCAAGTGGCAGGTACATTCTCAGACGACTGTATGCATGCGTTTAAACTTTTATGTGTGAGCAGCATGTGTACATTCCAGTATTATTTTACGCTGGAGTCGACTACATTGAGGCTCCGACTCCCTATTTGATGGGTCTTCATTCGGCTGTTGACATCTCTAACTTTTCGCTGGACGGGGTATGATGTCAAATGAACTTCGGTTTTTCCGCTTTACATGTCTTCTTACTCCACAGGTGGTGGTTGTGGATCTGGAAAACAATCAGATATTTTCCTCAGAAGCCATACCTCCTCTTACGGAACCTGAAGGCTCAATTCTGCGAAGAGACCTTGTGCGCTTACTGTATCCAAATGTAGTTCATTTGGATCGTGCTCGCAAAACAATTGGCGATCCCTGCTATGATGATCTAAGGCTTGGAAATAAGAAATGGAATGAGCAACATGATTTGGAACTGAGGTATGGACTGATACGAATGTTTCTCTTACGCGTGCTAAGCAAGTACCACATTCCAGGCTTATTTTTCTCCAGTTTTTTGCATCAGTTTTGCCTGACTACCGCAAATTTGTGGTAAGTGGTGCATCTTCTTTTAGATGCGTACTATCTAGTCAAATCTTACGACAGGGGGCTGCGATTGCTCTCCTGGATGCAGGGCAGTGCTCACGTAGCGATGAATGTTTTCAATACGCAAGCTTTCTTGAAAAAACGTGCAAGAGCCCTTGGACGTCAACCTGATCCCATGGCAAGTCTTTGGCTTTTTCGTGGTTTGTTTTTTTTTTTTTACTGGTTTACGGTGTGCAGATTTTTCAGCTATTGAACTCCCAAGGATTTATGGATTTTCTGGATCGAGGATATGGTGCACCTGATGCGGGTTTAAATCTCGTGGATAAACTTCAGAGTGCTATCGCTAATAGCGAATCTCGTGGAGCCATTCTACCTCTGCCGTACGACGAGCCTGAAATCATAACCGTTGCAGATATACAGAGTAAAGGTCCAGGTGAGGAGAAATCGTTAGTTGGTTTTCTAAGGATTCAACCACCTGTGTTTCAGCTGCAAGGTCAAGATTTTGTTATGATCGATTTCCTGCCAACGTGAGGACTCAGTTTGAGGAGGAGAAACGAAGTGCGGTTTTGGCTAAAGCAAACGCAAGTTTCGACCGTCCCAATAGACCAGCTGTTTCAAGGTGAATACGATTTTATCTGTTGGAAAATGTTGTCTAATCAACTTTTGTTTTTACAGTCCTGTTTCAGGGAGTTTCAGTCCACGAGAAAGAGCTGTAAGTATTATGGTTTTCTGCACATTTACAGTAAAAGACTCATTCAGGCTGAGCGGGACCGCATGGTGCTCGACATAAAAGTCAAACTCCAGGTACTTGCTAACTTGTCAATACGCAATCTTACGGGTTTTTAAAACTCAGGGATTGTGGCTACGGCTTCTCAATTTAAGTTCTGTAGAGGATCCCTTTTCGTCGTTTGAATATGGCACCATACTCGGTAAGATCTCTTTCTCATTACGTAGTGCTCCTAAGCTTTTTTTCTGCAGCTTTGATTGAGTCCGATGCGGAAGGTATTGGTGGAAGTGGATTTGTTGAGTGTGTCAGGGAGCATATTCACTCGGTAAGCTAAATGTTTTTGGTACACGCTGTTCTAAAGCTCGAACCTTTGCAGGGGTGGCAATGTCGTGTTTCCGAGGAACAATTTATGGCAGTTAAAGAGCTTGTAAGTACTCTTTTGTTGTCTTTAAGTTCTCTCCAATCTTTTATTCTTTTCCTTTGCAGGTGAAAACCATTGTCAATCGTGCTACTTCACGCAATGATATGGAAACAGTTCGGGATGCACTGGAGATTTCTGCCGAAGTTCACCGTCGTGATGCTGGCAATATTTTAGACTTTGTACAACGTCATTTGGGATCTTTGCCAGTTTGGGACGACATACGGTGAGCCTAAGTTGTTTCTTAAATATCTTTTAACTGTAAAATTGCAGTTTCTGGGAAGGATATTGTGAGTATATAATGGAACGTTCCTCTGATAGGTATTGATTTCTTTATAAATCTTAATTATCTCTTGGTGAACATGTGTTGCCTGTCTTAGGACTGGGAAGTATGCTGATCTTGTAACCGAACAACTTGTCGTCATAGCTCGGCACCTGGTACGATATGATTTGAATTCTACGTTTTATTGCTTGATTTTTATAGGCTGGTTTGAAAGTTCCGGATCCAGAGGCCTGGCTAATTCTTGAGTCATTAGCATTGAAGAATAATCTTGGATCGAAGCAACTGGTGGGTGTGCACACTTTTTTCAATCACGTCCAATGACATTTTCCTTTTTTTTTTCTGCAGATAAAATTGAGAGGCATTTTAGCTCATGTACAGAATGTGAAACAAGGTTACTGGGGAAAACTACCTACATCAAGAGCACAGCCAGTAGCCTCTTATCCTCAAGATCGACAAGAAAACGATGACAGTCAGAGCTCTCAAGCGGCGGGTGCTGGAAGAAGCTGGATGCAAAGTATGTTTAGCAGGGATCGCGCCTCGTTCAGACAACCTGCCAACGACGCTCGAGGTCGTACGGACGCACCTGTTTCAGGTAAGTTCTTTATGAAATAAAGTGTTTCTGTTGATGGTTTTCCCGTTTAGGCTCAAGGCAAAATCAGCGAGCCAATGTAGACAGCACGCAGGCAGTGAAACGGTCTCCAGCTTTGCGAAACCTTCGTGGTCATACAGGTCCTGTGACAGCATTGCACGTGGGAACGAGAAGTGAAATGGGGGATCTTGTCGGCGAAAATGAACCAGGCATGTTCATAAGTGGATCTGCTGACTGCACGGTTCGTTCTAGTCTCGGTTCTCTGATTTAGCATTGACAAAACATTAAGTGCAGTTAAAAATGTGGGATCCAACCGTGCGTGGTTCTGAGTTTCGAGCAACATTAGAAGGACACACGGCGTATGTTTTAACTGTGTGGTTTGTTGATGTTTGTCCTTCTAACGATTCGTCTACAGGACAATTCGTGCAATATCGTCCGATAAGCTGCGTATAGTTTCCGGTGGCGACGATACTCTTGTACTTATCTGGGACAAGGCTACGTCTCAGAACAGCATGAAGCTCGACGGTCACAGAGAAAAGGTACTCTTAATGTCTTTACTTGAAATAGTTTGTGAAGCATGGAAATCGCAGATAAGCTGCGTGAGGATGCTGTCGGAGGAACGAGTTCTTTCGGCTTCCCATGATGGCACGGTCAAGATGTGGGATGCCAGAACGGACGCATGCGTTGCCAACGTGGGACAATCTTCGAGTGCAATTCTATGCATGGACTACGATGACACTACGAGAGTCCTTGCTGCCGCAGGAATGGACGGGTATGCTTGTTGTTACGTCAACCATCTATCTTGATGCTTTTTATTTTGCTCAGAGTTGTGAAAGTTTGGGATGTCCGAGCTGGGAAACAGGTTCATATGCTTCTCGGTCACAAGAAGTGGATAAGGTAAAGCTGGTTGTTCTTGGCTTGTGAGACTGTGTTTTCTTTTGCTGCCATGGCCAGAACTTTGAGAATGGTGAAGGATACGATCGTCACTGGAAGTGACGACTGGACAGCGAGGGTGTGGTCTGTGTCTCAAGGTTCTTGCGACGCAGTCCTTGCATGTCACGCAGGTGGAATCACCTGCGTGGAGTACTCTGCTACAGACGATGGAATCATCACAGGTTTGTTGCTTCACTTCTACTTGTGCTACTTACACATTACTCTTTTCATACAGGTTCGGCAGATGGTCTGGTTCGCATTTGGGAGTATCAAAACGGTAAGCAGAGCTTTCATTTCTTCGCTTCCGAGAGTAACCAATGATGTATAATGTGTGCATCAGGAGGCTTGCTTCAGTGCGTGAAAAACGTCGGTGTCCACGTTTCGCCCATTCTCTCCGTGAAAGCGGGACCGCGGTGGCTGGCAATAGGCGCCGGAGATAACTCCATGTCCCTGTTCCACAAGGCGGAGCAAAACGACCAAGCAAAGGGAATGGCGGGATGGCAGCTCTACCGCACTCCACAGCGTAGCGCCGCAGTGGTACGTCTCGATTGATCTTTATCTTCCAATTCTCTGGATCTATGTATAATAAGAACTTTCACTCTTTCCAGGTGAGATGCGTTGCTTGTGATGCGGACAGAGGAAGGATTTGTAGCGGCGGCCGCAATGGGCTTCTTCGTCTCTGGGAACCAAACCTCTAGAAATTTTAAAACGAAGTGAATATGCGTTTTTTTAATTTTTGTAAGAACTCTTGATCTAAGTCATTGGCGGGACGAAATCCTGGTTGGTTTTGTGTGTAAAGTAGCACATAGGCACACCAAGTGGATGATCTTCCGGGTTCTTAGCACCATGGACGTAGAACTGCCTATAGTAGTCTCAGTAAGTTCCGAGGTGTAAACGCTAGTTCTTATAATCGAGAAAAGAATATCCGGCGAACATCTTCTGGGATTTAGGGCTTTTCCACAATGCTGAAGAACAAGGCGTTTGTGAAGAAGAATCGAGGCGGCCGGGTTTTCAAGGTGAGGGATGCTCTTGCGGTCTTGGTTTCGATGGATTTGCGCCTGCGTCCAGGTCGTTCGCGAGCACTACCTGCGCGATGATATTCCCTGCGGCGCTACGTTTTGTTCCAGCTGCGACACCTCCACTGCCAATCTCGTTGCGGCCGACCGGCTCGTTGTGGTCGATACAAATGTGGTGTTACACCAGGTGCTTGTTCTTGCCTCTCTTTTTTCTTCTATTAGCGATTTTTTGCAATCTTCTATCTAGATGGATTTGCTCGAAAATCCGGCATTTCGCAACGTGATAATTTTATCCGTTGTTCTGGAAGAAGTGAAGAACAAGAACTTGAGTGCTTACAATCGCCTGCGCAACATTTGTGCGAATCGATCACGTCAGTTCTTCGTTTTCTCTAATGAACACCACAGGCAAGATATCAATTATGTCTTCTTCCTAAATCTTTTTCTCTCAGGGAGACTTACATCAAGGCAATGGCGAGTGAGAGTGTTAACGACAGGAATGACAGAGGTACTTGGTTTTTGCTGTTTCCTTTTTCGAAGCGACTTTTCTCTCGAATCTCCAGCTATTCGCGTCGCAACCCAGTGGTTTCAGAAACACCTCGGAGATGCGTGCACTGTTGTTCTTCTGACAAACGATCTTGACAATAGAACCAAGGCCAATGCAGAAGGAATTAACGTTTTTTCTGGTAAGTTTTCTAGTGAAGTAGATATAACACTTAATAAAATCCTCTTTTAGTGGACCACTTTGTTCAGTCGCTAGGCAAGCCAGAATTACTGGATTTGGTTGCTCGGAGTGAGTCCGAGAATGCCACTCCGATGGAAATAGAGGACTCGAGACCGTCAAAAAGAAAGATCATCTATTCAGAGGTACATGTAGCTCAATTGTCACCGGCGCTTACATTGCATCTTTCAGCACAAACCTATGTCCGAAATCACTGCGGGCATACATCAAGGAATATATCACCAAGGAAAGCTGCGAGTTAACAGATATAACCCGTTCCAAGCCTACGTCGGTAGCGAAAGTGTTGGCGACGAGATTTTGGTTCAGGGAAGACTGAATATGAATCGAGCATTTGATGGGGATGTGGTTGTTGTAGAGCTTCTCCCGCACGAGTCTTGGCAAGGCGACATGACAATGATTGCTGAAGAAGAAGGTACATAGCTCTAAATCTCCATTTTGTTCTGAAGCTCCTTACAGACGGCGATGGTGATGAAAGAGTCGGGCTTGCTCCTGACACCTCTGATGAGGCAGCCGTGAACAAGGCGGATGAAGCCAGTGAGAAAGCAACAACGTCCGGTGGATCCAGCAGACCGAATGGACGTGTCATTGGAATAATCAAGCGGAACTGGAGGGCGTAAGAACTTTTCAGTTCGTCATGCTATTGGAAACTAACGTTTTCACGTTCCTTCTTCAGGTACTGTGGCTCTCTGGAGCCAATGACAACCCCAGCAGGAGCGGGAAGCGTGGCAAATGCATTGTTCGTGTCAGCGGACCGTCGAATTCCAAAAATCCGTATCCAAACTCGTCAGTTTGGTAATTTGGTTGACAAACGCATCGTGGTGTCTGTCGACTCCTGGGATTTAAACTCCAGATATCCTTCTGGACATTACGTGAAAACTGTCGGCAAAATTGGCGATCGTAACACAGAAAGCGAGGTAAACGCCTCGTTAAGAACTTGAAAATCAGCTCTATGTGTTTTGTTTTCAGGTTCTTCTTATTGAGAATGACATCAACAATAGGCCATTTTCGGACCAAGTGTTGGCCTGCCTCCCGCCGTTGCCTTGGTCGGTACCCGCAGAAGCGTTGCACGATCCTCATCGTGAAGATTTACGAAATTTGAGGGTGTTCAGTGTAGACCCCATTGGTAAGGATGATCAGTGCGTAAAGCTGCTTTCATTCACAAGTGCCGCTAAAATGTGTAGGCTGCAAGGATATCGATGACGCTCTTCACTGTACCTTGCTGCCAACTGGCAACTATCAAGTCGGAGTCCGTATCCAATCTTGTGTTTATATTCTTTTCTCTGTTCCATCCTTAATAAGTTTCCAGATATTGCGGATGTAACAAGCTTTGTTCATCCTGGTACACCTCTAGACATTGAAGCTCGGGAAAGAGGAACATCTGTTTACTTGGTTGAACGTCGGATTGACATGCTTCCCAAGCCGCTTACTGAAGGTTAGCTCGAATTCGTGGATTTTCAGTGGTATTTACGTATATACAATGCAGATGTGTGCTCTCTCAGAGCGGATGTAGAAAGATTTGTTTTCTCGGTCATTTGGGTAATGCCAGCTTCGTTCATTTCTATTCATTGTCACTTACAATTCTAAATTCAGGAGATGTCCTCAGAGGCGGATATAATTTCAGTTCGATTTACAAAGGGCGTAATCAAGTCCTCCGCTGCTCTTTCGTACGTTGAAGCTCAAGCCCGAATGGATGATAGGTACGTACACTTGCTCCGAATTTTCTTGAAGTGGAGAGTAACTTTTATGTACGTCAGCCGAATGTCGGACCCCTTAACTACTGATCTTCGGAACATGAATCGCCTCGCTAAGGTTGTTAAGCTTTTTGTCTCTGCCATGCTCATCGGCAAACTGCAGGTTTTGAGGCAAAGACGAATTGAACGCGGGGCTCTTACTCTTGCTTCTCCTGAAGTGAAGTTCGAAATTGATACAGAAACACATAATCCTTTGGATGTTGGTCAGTATTCTGCGTTTACGTTTGCAAAGTTAATCTAAACTAACAGAAGGTTGTTTCAGGCATGTACCAAGTAAGAGAATCAAATCACATGGTCGAAGAGTTTATGCTGTTGGCAAATATTTCAGTCGCTAAGAAGATATTGTCGAGTTTCCCAGTGTTTTCTCTTCTCAGGTATTTTCCTTTTTTTTTTTGTCAGCAAACCTTGGATTGAACTTGACAGACGGCATCCTACGCCAACACCGAAAATGTTTGAGCCTCTTCTAAAAATTGCTTCGGCAGTAGGCATCAAACTGGACATCACTTCGTCTATGACTCTCGCAAATACTCTTGACCTTGCAGTGGTATGTGTAGAACTTTACATGTTTTTTGTTCATCGCCTCACGTTTACATGCCTATAGGGGGATGATCCATACTTCAACAAATTGATAAGAATTCTTGCAACTCGGTGCATGACCCAAGTAAGCTGATTTTATAGCGTTTAGTAGCTCATATTTGCGTTGTTGCTTTTCAGGCGGTTTACTTTTGCAGTGGCGAGCTAAGCCCTCCAGAGTTTCAACATTACGGACTTGCATCAGCAATATACACACATTTCACGTCTCCCATCAGACGATATGCTGGTAAGTGACCACTTATGCTGTTGATGTGAATCTTATTAAACAGCGTCTCAACGCAGATGTGATTGTACACCGCTTGCTGGCTGCAGCTTTGGATTTGGAAAAGCTGTCACCGTCCTTACGCGACAAATCCGAGGTCACGAAGATCGCAGACAGTAAGGCTATGGCGTTTCCTCAGTGGCCTCATGTCTTACTTTACTCAAACAGATTTGAACTACCGGCATCGAAACGCGCAAATGGCAGGCCGAGCATCAGTGGAGCTCCACACTTTAATCTTTTTCAGAAACAGGTTGTTCTTCACGGATCTTTTGTGCGCTTTCTCACGCATTGTCTCGTTGTAACCAGGCCTACAGACGCAGACGCAAGGATTGTGCAGATCCGATCCAATGGGCTGATAGTGTTTGTTCCAAAGTATCTATTCTCCTCGTTGTTTGCAAATCTCTGTACTGAATCTGGAATTCGCTTTGCAAGGTATGGCATTGAAGGGCCCGTGTTCCTGGTTGACAAGGCAAGCAAGTCGAGTACCAACTGGATAATGAACGAGGAGCAACAGTGTGCCAATGCTCGGGATGGTAGTACAAAGTACAAAGTGCTAGACAGCGTGAAGATTCGCATTCAAGTTGTGGAGCCGCAGCCAAACAGGCCCAAGTTGGAACTCACTTTACTGGCATAACAGGTAGATCATGTTAAAGCTTCTCTTCGTTTTCTAAACCTCTCGCCTCTTACTCGCAGCGATTCTTCAAACTTTGTTACTGGCTATTTCACTGCTAGTAGTGCTCCGAGCATTTGCTCAAACTCGTCGAGAGCTTGGAAGCAAGTTCCCGGCCTTTGAAGCGGTGGAAAGAAGAGCAAAGAAGCCGTCGTGAAGATAAAACCCAGCGTTATCACTACGCACATTACCTTGGGCAGCTTTGAGACGAGCGGGCCAAAGTTTCTTCGCAGTGCCACCTCCACGACCATGGCGAGGCCGTTGACCAGGAAGAACCCAGTCACCTGCCACGTCGGCGTTGACTTGGTGGTGTAGAGAAAAATCACTTCGTGCATGAGACCAGAGACGAGGAAGACTGCCATGGTTGCCGTGGCTCTCACCCAGAGCAGTGACCGCGTACGGCCCGGTCCGGCTCGGCCCAACCTGGTTAGTACGAAGAGTACGGGCTCGTATACCGAGGCCCTGAGCATGCTGCTAACGAGTCGATTCCAGCGCTTGCCCCAAAACTCCGAGATGGATGCCGCGAGGAAGGGCTTGTCGAATTGCGGCTCGAGCTTCACACCGATCGTGGCGGCGGCGATGGCGGCGATGGCCTCGAAGATGAGCGAGCAGGCAAGGTAGATGTGGAGGGAATAGATGAGGTAGAGGAGGAGCTCGGGCATGCCGCGGTCGCGGAATGCGTAGGCGGAGAAGAGGAGCACGACGAGCAGGACCTTGATCGAGGCCCGGATGATCACGGCCTGCCAGGCGAGGGATTCTTGGAGCCATATCCAGGAGGATTTCCAGGATATCGGGGCCGATCGATCGTCTGGAGCTGGAGCGGCATTGGATTCTGCCGCATTGCTGCTCGCATCGATGAGGCTGCGCGGGATGTTGATGGAGAGCGCCATGGCCGCGAAGAATCGGGGGAAGCTGGCCGTGACGGATGGATCTTGGACGGCGCCGAGGTTCCAGCAGAGGAGGAGGAGCTTGGACGGGATCATCCACAGGAAGAAGAAGGAGAGGACCGCTCTTAGGTGGATGGTTGGAACGTCCCAGGCGGATCGATAGAGGAGAACGATCCATGGCAGCAATGCGACGAGCCGAGGGATTCCAACGGGCAGGCGGAGGAGGACAATGTAAGCGAAGACGATGCAGCCAATGCCTCCGGCGGCGACGTCTCCTCCCCTGACCATTTACCCCGGAAGAGCCCTAATTAGGGCTTGGGCGAGATGCTGGTAGCGCGGGTTGTGCTGCTCTTCCTCCTCCTCTCGACGACCTTGCTGGGGGCGAGGGGAGTAGCCAAGAAATTGGTGCTGGTACTGAATGACGATGCTGGGACCGACGAGGAGGAGGGATCCATCGCCGGCGTCCAGGATGAGCTCTCGCAGTTGGAGAATCCGCCAGAGGATGGATCGGTGCCTCCCGAGCCCGAGGAGTCTTTTTCCGACTGGGATTTCCCGGATTTGGACGGGACGGAGATCGAGGAGCCGGATCCAGGATCGTGGAGGTTGGTGATGGAAGAAGTGGAGCACGGCAAGAACGATTCTTACGGTGCCGCGGTAGCCCAGCTGATCAATTCGGTGAGTGATGGGGAGCTTGAGTTGATCCAGACTGCGGTGAAGGAGCTCCAGGGTCTAGCGGATCAAGGCCATGCTCATGCTCAGTCAACACTCGCGTCGCTCTACGGACACGGCTACGGTATGGAACAAAGTGACCTCAAGTCGTTTTTGTTCCACCATTTTGCTGCTGAGGGAGGGAATTATCAATCAAAGATGGCGCTCGCCTACAGCTACTACAGACAGCAAGTGAGTTATTTCTTCTTTTCTCTCTCTTTGGATTGATGATGAGTGTTGTTTTTCCCAGCTCTTCGAAGAGGCAGCTCATCTTTACGCCGAGCTCGCAGCAGCAGCTGTGGCCAGTTTTGTGTCTGCCAAAGAGGGGCCTTTGATCGAACACGTCCGTCTGAATTACGGTCCCGAGGAGAGTAAAGACTCGCTCAAGAAGTTCCGAGGTGAAGAGGATGACGATTTCCAGTTCCTTGAGTACCAAGCACAGAAGGGGAACTCAGCCGCAATGCACAAGATTGGTGTCATCTATTACTACGGACTGAGAGGTATTCCTCGTGACCACCTCAGGGCGTTGTCGTGGTTTACGAAATCAGTCGAAAAGGGAGACTCGGCCTCTCTGGAATTCCTTGGCGAGATTTATGCCCGTGGTTTCGGAGTGGAGAGGAACTACACAAAAGCGTATGACTATTTCAAGAAGGCTATACGTGAGAAGCGCTTCTCGGCTTATAACGGGATCGGGTACTTGTACTTTATCGGGCAGGGGGTCGACAAGAAAAACATGACAAAGGTGAGACAGCGTTCTAATTTTTCCTTTTGCGTGTTCTTAACAACACTCTGGCGTGTCTGCAGGCCAAGGAATTTTACAAAAGAGCGGCAGATCATAATGATCCCAATGGTTTTTATAACTTGGGAGTCATCTATCTCAAGGGTGCCGGCGTCAAGAAAAGTATCAAGATGGCAAGTCGGTACCTGATCCTTGCGGCTAACACCGGTCATCCTAAAGCGTATTACCAGCTTGCAAAAATGCAGCAGAGGGGCCTTGGTATGAAAAAGGACTTGCCTACGGTAAGTTCTTAATTCCCACATTCGTCCTCACATTACAATTTTCGACTGCAGGCTGTGGATTTGTACAAGGCCGTGGCCGAAAGGGGTCCATGGGGAGCTCTACTGCGATGGGGACTTGAAAGTTACCTGAAGGGCGAGATCGCTCTTTCTTTGCTGCTTTACTCCAGAGCTGCCGAGCTTGGCTACGAGGTGGCCCAAAGCAACGCGGCATGGATACTCGACAAGTTTCATGAAGAAGCAGTCTGCATTGGCAAAAATGGTTACTGTACCGTTGAAGAACGCCATCACCGTGCACACACGCTGTGGCGTTTTGCGTCGGAACAGGGAAACGAGTATGCGGCTTTGTTAATTGGTGATGCGTACTACTATGGACGGGTATATTACTTTTCTTTGCCTGGCTGGGAGGCACTCACTATTGGTACTTTTTGCAGGGAACAGTGAAAGACTTGGATCGTGCTGCAGAGGCATATATGCGAGCACGTTTACAGTTTAACGCACAGGCAATGTATAACATCGGCTACATGCATGAACACGGTTTAGGCTTACCCAAGGACTTCCATCTCGCCAAGAGGTACTACGACCTGGCCCTGGACGCAGACCAAAGCGCCTTCTTACCAATCTATCTTGCTCTGGGAGTTCTCTGGCTGCGGCAGCGTAACGAGGAAAGCATGCTGGTAAGTAGGCTACCTTTCTCTTTCTCAGATATGTTTCCTGATTCGAGCTTTAACAGGTGAAAGCTATTGACATGCTCCCGGAACTGAGTAAACAATTCACGACCTGGGCCCGAGACTTTACTACGGCTTTCTCCATTGAGGAAGGCAACGCGACTTTACTCACTCTGGTGGTGTGCCTGGTGACTGTTCTATACCTGCGATCTTTACGACGCCAGCAAAGGCAGCAAGAGGATGCCGTCTATGATCAACAGGAATGAGGTCGTCTGATATCATTGTATACGTTTAGAGCAGCGGACTAATCATAATCGAAAGCGCAAGGAAAATTTTTGCTTTATCACTTTGTCTGGCTTACTTTGGTGACTGGCAGGAAGCGAGGGAGGCATCGCTATCAGCTGGGGAGAGAACTTATCCCCTCGGGACAGGGAACTTTTCATTGGTCATCCTGGATTCTGCCAGCTCGGCACTTGCGTTTTTCAGCAGCCAGCTTTGGGTTGGAGGAGCTCTTGGGCCTGCAAACATATGCCACAAGTAAGTTCGTCTGGGTGTTTTTCTTTTTTCGTCAGCCAGAGTAACTAACCGGAAGCTCTTTGATTCAGAGGAACAGTGAGCATCGCTAAGATGGTGTGCTCAATTGTCAACCTCAATCGTTCTGCCATGATCCCAGACCATGAACAGATGTCCTTCGCTGCTGCTCCACTAAGCTAGCCACCACAGCTCACAGCCACTGGGGAAGAAAGCTAGAAAAAAAAAGAACAAGAACAGAACGAGGACACTGGGAACAAAAAAAACTTGGGAAATTGCTACGTGATGGCGGTCACTTCGAGCAAACGCGTTGGTCGAAACAGCTTCAGCATGAGGCGCACCAACGATTGGTAAGTTGGATTCATCATGACTTGGCTCCGGGTTTTACTGCTTTCTTCCGTTTTCTCATCGCAGGGTCATGTCGACTGACGTCCCGACGGATATCACGGTAGACATCTGCGGAACCAGCTTTGCCCTCCACAAGGTAGCGGAGCTTCTTCCTTCACTCCCCACCAACAGAATTTCTCATGAATTTTGGTGCGGGTTTCATGCTCTCGTGGTTACAGTTCCCCCTGGTGTCGAGGAGCGGAAGGCTGCGAAAGCTCGTCGCGGAAGCCAGGGACTCGGACCTGTCCCGAGTCGAATTCAATGACATCCCCGGCGGGCCGGAAGGATTTGAAATGGCTGCGAAGTTCTGCTACGGCATCAACTTCGAGATCACGGCGTCCAACGTTGCAATCCTCCGGTGCGTAGCAGAGTATCTGGAGATGACGGACGACTTTGGCCAGGCAAATCTCGCGTCCAGGAGCGAGGCCTTCATCGAAGACGTGGTGACGCACAGCTTCGGGAGCTCAATCACGGTTCTCCACAGCTGCGAGAAGCTCCTTCCAATGGCCGAGCAGCTCAACATTGTCAACCGGTGTGTCCAAGCAGCAGGGGCCAAGGCCAGCCACGAGGCGCTCTCCCTCGCAGCTCGTCCAGAGTACCGCAATGCCAAGACGCCTCCGCAGCTCGACTGGTGGGCCGAGGACCTCTCCATTCTCAGCCTCGACTTCTACCAGAGGGTGCTGGCGGTGATGAGAAGCCACGGGATGCCGCAGGAGAACCTGTGGGGGAGCCTCATGCACTACGCGCAGCAGGCTCTGAAAGGATTCAACAGCACCAGCAGCAAGAGCCCCGGAAGATCGGTCACCGGACTGGAGCACGAGCAGCGGATGCTGGTGGAGACCATCGTCGGTTTGCTGCCACCGGACAAGAGATCTGCGTCTTGCGGCTTCCTCTTCGGGCTCTTGCGGACGTCGATCATCCTGGACACCACGGTTGCCTGCCGACTAGAGCTGGAGAGGCGGATCTCATTGCAGCTGGACGAGGCGACGCTGGACGATCTGCTGATACCATCGTTCTCGTTCGCGGCCGATACCCTCTTCGACACGGACCTCGTCCATCGCCTGCTCTCGAGCTTCCTCCAGCACCATCTCCAGGACGAGTCCAAGGCGTCGCAGAGCTCGCTGGCAAAGGTGGCGAAGTTGATGGACAGCTATTTGGCGGAAGTAGCGCCGGATGCCAACCTCAAAGTCTCCAAGTTCATCGCGCTGGCCGAGGTGCTGCCCGAGCACTCGAGGATGGTCGAGGATGGATTGTATAGAGCGGTGGATATCTTCCTCAAGGCAAGCTAGCTTTCTTCCTTGTGTTTTTCCTCTTTCTTCGTTGGCGAAGAACACCTCTTTGATCCAAACTCTTCCTGTTCCTCCAGGCCCATCCTTTACTCGTCGAGGCCGATCGCAAGAGAATCTGCAAGCTCATGGATCCCCAGCGCCTGTCCCAAGAGGCGTGCAGCCATGCCGCGCAAAACGAGCGCTTGCCCGCGCACTTCATCATCCAGGTTCTCTACTTCGAGCAGCTGAGAATCAAGACCGCGCTCGCAAACTATGCCATCGAGATGCCCAAGGGCGATCACGGCCCGACCCCCATCGCCGCGGCGCTGCGATCGTCCACTGCTGCTGCCAATGCCGCTGCTGCCGCCGCTGCCGATGCGAATCCCCAATCCGCGCTGCGGAGGGAGAACAAGGAGCTCAAGATCGAGCTTACCAGGATGAAGATCAGGCTATCAGACTTGGAGAAGGAGCAGAGCCCGGGAGTATCAAGGGCGAGCGAGGAGAAGAGGCTGAGCAGCCCGACGTCGTCCGCCGCTAGCTCGCCTGGATCCGGCCGGTTCTTCTACACTGTGTCGCGGCGGCTTGGAAAGCTTAATCCGTTTGGGAAGAGCTCGCTCAAGCCGCCGGCCACGCCCGAGCTCCAGAAGCCGCGGCGCCGCCGGCATTCGATCTCGTGACGCTCGATCGAGAAGCTCTCGATCGCTCCAGCAGAAGAAGAAATCCAATTGTTAGTCTCCAAGAACTCCAAGAACCCTAGAGTATTGTCAAATGGATAGGCAGGAAGCGCGCGTGGAGATGGTGGTGATCGCCGGCGAGGATCTCAAGAATGTGACGAGCTTGCTCATGTCTGGCAGCAAGATGAGCTCCTACGTGGTGTGCTGGGTGGATCCGTGCTCCAAGCGCTCCACCAGGATCATCAAGAGAGGCGGTAGGGATCCCGTGTGGAATGAGGCGCTGTCGCTGCCCGTGGATGCGATTGCCCTCGCCAATCCCTACGCCTGCCTCACGCTCCAGGTGATGAGCAGCCGATCGGGGGGCGACGATGCGGTAGTGGGCAAAGCGTGGATGCCGCTCCACGAGATCGCGAGGCTCTCCACCACGACCTCGGCATTCGATAATATCATCTCTCTCGGCGTCCAGCGGCCGTCTGGGAGGATGCAAGGCTCGATCCGGCTGTGCGTGTGCTTGATCGGGGCGGGATTCCACAATGCTGGTTCCACGAGTGGGGGAAATTTCCATCCGGGCAAGCCGATGCTCCAAATCCAAATGCCCCAGCACCAGATTTCTTCTCCTGTTGAGAGCTCGCTTGAGGAATTCGCGAGTCCATCGTCATCCTCGGGAGGAGGAGGGGCACCAATCCAGCCGGTGGAAGGGATCCCAGTGATTGGCTTTGCTGCTGGGGCAACGAGCTACCATCAAGGTCACCACCACTTCCAAATGCCGCCATATCTTCCATCTCCATCGGCACCACCAGTTCTTCCTGATCACAACGGTAACGGGAATGGTAACGCTCGTGGTCATGGTCATGGTAATGGTAATGGTCTACTTCTGGGGCTTTTGGGTGGTGCCTTGGCTGCGCTTGTGCTGGGTGATATTTTTTTCCAGTGAAGATCTGGCTACTTGGGTGACATGTTTTTCCAGTGGGATCTGTTGCTTCTCTTTTCTTTGTGGATACTGTGCTTGCTTGCTGCTGCTTGGGATTTAAAATTATTCTGAGTGCGTTGCTGCCGGCCTCGAGTTTGTCATTATCATCACCTCGTAGATGTGTTCGTCATTTTAGTCGAAGGTGTTCTTCCTGGTCGTTTGGGTCATGGCGGAAGTGGGTCTCGCCTTGGGCTCCTTGCCGGTGTCCAGGCAGATTGTTTCTTCGAGAAAAGCAAGAATTAGAGCTGCTGGATTTGGGTCCTGGTTTCCTGGCTTTCAGCTGAAATGCTCCCGGCTAACAGCCGAGGCGAAGGCTCATCCGCAAATTGTCCAAGCCGAACACAATTTGGTAAGTAACTAGTTTCTTCAACTGGGTTCCTGATGGCTTTTTGTGTTTCACAGAGTCTGGAAGATGTGAAGGATACATCGGAGGTGGAGAAGCCGCTTAAAGTAGCTTTAATTTGCGGGGGACCTTCAGCCGAGAGAGGGATATCTTTAAACTCTGCAAGATCCGTTCTTGATCACCTCCAGGTGGTGTTCTCTTCTTATCCAATTTTTTTTTTTTTTTTCGCAATTTGTGTAACGAAAACGTTAGTGCAGGCGGAAGATGTTGAAGTTGATTGTTACTACATGGATCAGCAACTTCGTGCCTATGCAATTTCACCTTCTCAGGTTCGTCACCTTGCAAAATGATGAAGTGGAGACATTGTGGGCTATGCTTGATACTTCTGCAGATGTACTGTAACACGCCTTCTGATTTCGATTTTAAGCTGCACAGGTGACGGACGATTTTTTTTTTTTTCTTCTCATCGTTTGTATTTTGGCAGCTTGGCTCAATGCTTCACGTCCCAGGCCGATTTCTTGCGACGGTTAAAATCTTCCGTCGATATTGTGTTCCCGGTGATACACGGGAAATTTGGTGAAGACGGAGGCCTACAGGTTATAGAAAGAATTGCAAAAGCTGTAACCTTTCAAATCCCATGAATTGTGCAGGAACTTCTGGAATCCGCTGGAATACCGTTCGTGGGAACTGGTTCTTCAGCAGCCCGTTGTGCCTTCGACAAGGTAAGCTTTGATGGTATTTTGTATTGCCTTAATTTTGGATATTGCAGTATGAAGCAGCAAAAGAGCTTTCCCGTCATGGATTTGTGACAATTCCAAGCTTTCTTATTGACGTAAGTACCTTTTTCTTGAGCCAACTTGAAAATACTTCCTTCCAGAGTCCCGAGATTGATAAGGCAGCATTGGTAGAATGGTTCAAGGCTAACGATTTGAATCCTTCTTCAGATCGTGTTGTGGTAAGGCTTCAACAGGAGATAGTTGACTCTATCCGCTTTTCAACAGGTGAAACCAGCCAAATCGGGATCAAGCATAGGGGTTACTGTGGCTCATGGACTTGACGAGGTCATCCGTGATGCTGAGACTTTACTTAAAGAGGTGAGTGATACCGACAAGTTGTCTTTGTGTTTAAAAAGAAGAATTTATTTTGTCCAGGGCATTGATGACAGAATCGTGGTGGAAGTTTTTCTGCAAGGCTGTACAGAATTTACCGTCATTATTCTCGATACTGGTTCTGGTGAACAAGTTCAACCAGTTGCTCTTCTTCCCACAGAGGTATACATTTGCGTGCTGGGCCTACTTAAACGTATGTTATCGCTGTAGGTGGAACTGTTACATGGCGATGGGCAGTCGATAGGTGAAAAGATTTTCAATTACCGGAGAAAGTATCTTCCAACTAGACAGGTATGGCATGTATATCCGTTTCATTTGTACTTAAGAATTTTCAGGTTTCTTACCACACACCTCCTCGTTTTCCTGTTCAAACCATTCAAAGCATACGTTCTGGTGCCTCGAAACTTTTCACACTCCTGAATCTGCGTGATTTTGCTCGAGTAGATGGCTGGTTACTTCCACCTTCAAGTTCATTCAACAAATCAAATGATTTTTTGGTCGTCTTTTCGGATGTCAATCTGGTAGTAAAGTCGTTTCTCATTTATATATGAGTGCAACTGACTCAGTGAACAGGTTAGCGGCATGGAGCAAACAAGTTTTTTGTTTCAGCAAGCTGCACAGGTATAAGTTCAACAAGTACGTTTTATCATGCTGTATTTACACCATGTGAAGGTTGGTCTGAGCCACAGAGATGTTCTGCGGTTAGTCCTGAATCGAGCGCGCACAAGATATCCCAGCCTTTCAAATTTTCCTCAGGTGGGATTGCATGGAGTTGATGGCTCCCCGCAAACAAGTAAACGAAAAGTCTACGTCTTGTTTGGAGGAGGAAGCTCAGAACGACAAGTGTCATTGATGAGCGGAACCAATGTTTGGCTCAATCTTCGCGGCTGTAAGGACGTAAGTTTTTGGCCACCTGAATCAATGGATACTCAACCGTTTGTATTTTCTACGACAGCTCGATGTCTCTCCATTTGTTCTTGCACCCCAATCAAGGGGTGAATCGCCGGAATCAAGATCAATTTGGGCACTTCCGTAAGTTTATCTACTCGTCCTTTTCGCGAATAACGGTATTTTGCATGACAAGGTATGCTTGTGTGCTTCGTCACACTGTGGAAGAGGTGGTTGACGGTTGTTTAGAGGCACTGGATCCTCGTTTTTCTGCTGTTTCCGGCTCACTCAAAGCACAAGTGATGTCAGAACTTAGTTCCAGTGGTTCTAAAGTTGATTACAATGTGGGATCCGGCGTCCCAACGAAGTTGTCCATGAGTGAATGGATTCAGCATGCTAAGGATGACGACGCTATTGTTTTTATAGCAGGTAAAACCTCTGAATTTTTTGCTGTTTATTGTAGTAACCGCGCGCTTGTGCAGTGCACGGTGACATTGGGGAGAACGGGATATTGCAAGAGATGCTCGAAGCGAAACGCATACCATTTACAGGTAACATGATTTTGCATTTGCAAAGCTTCTTACCGCGTGTATGGATTAGGATCTGGCGTGAAGGCATCCCGGATATGTATGGACAAAGCCGTTACAGGTCATACGATTTCTCCTGTAAGTCAGCTCTAATCGTTTTCTTGTTTTAATATGAGTTGTTTCGTTCCTTGTAGTTGAGTTCGAATGGAGTTTATAGTGCCAAAAGAGTTGTCTATAAGACAGCAGAGCTGCTTCATGACTGTGGAGATAACAGCCAACTTTGGCTCTCGTTGCAAGACAAACTGGAAGATTCTAGCATATGTGTGAAACCAGCAGCTGATGGATGCTCCACGGGAGTTGCGAGATTATGGTAAGGAAGTCTAGTGACATGAAGAACGTTGCTGATAAAATTGCCGCAGCTGTGCAAGGGACTTGACGGTATATCTCACGGCATTGAAGGAAAAGCTACCTCGTTTGCTTCCAGGATCTCTCGGCAAGGTAAAAATTGTCATGACCTCCAGAAACCGATTCTAAGCTTGTACTTTACAGCCGCATGGAATTATTGAACTTCCTGCCACTATCCCGGATAGTTTGATCTTTGAACCGTTTATACAAACGGATGATATACTTGTGTGTGAAGAATCTCAAATCGCATGGGAAGGCAAGCATAGATGGGTGGAAATCACAGCTGGTGTGATTGGTAAGAAGGGTGCCATGCATGCTTTGCATCCAAGCATCACACTGAAGGAATCTGGCGACATTTTGTCCTTGGAAGAAAAGTTTCAAGGTTTGAACAATTCCACCCAACAAGTTAATTACGTTTTATTTTTCTTTCTTTCTTTGCAGGTGGTACTGGCGTCAATTTGACTCCACCACCTCCTCTCATTTGCAGGTTAGTTGTAAGCCTTACGTTTGGCGTAGAGTCACAGGTTCTTTATTATCTTTCTGCAGTGAAGAAGCAGTACGTTCGTGTAGAGAGCGTATTGAACTTGTTGCCAACACCCTCCAATTGGAAGGATTTGCTCGAATTGATGCTTTCATGAATGTGGACACTGGAGAGGTATGGTTGTAATCACTTTCGAAATTCTTGACTCAAAACTGGCGACAGGTGATTGTTATAGAAGTGAACACGGTCCCTGGAATGACTCCCTCGACAGTTTTAATTCATCAGGTTTGAAGACAGATTCTAAGCTGCGTGTACAAACTGCTTACGCTGAAAATTTCAGGTGCTTGCGGAAACCACGCCATTATTTCCACGAGAGTTCTTCCGAGCAGTCGTTGATTTAGGCTCAAAGCGGTAATCGTATCACAAGGAAGCTTTCATACCCGGTCGCCTTTTCTCGAACATCCATTCCTAGTCGTTTCTTAACGAGTCCAAGTCCTGTCGGTTTTAATTTATACCATTAGCATGCATTGAAGCTCGTGGCAATATCTGTTTTAGTGGAATAACAAGGAATGATTTAAACTAGCAGAACTTTACCGAAGGAATAATTTCATTTTGATTAATGGCTGCTGACGAGCTCCAGAACTCGAGGTATCTCATGCTACACTCGATCGCAGCCCACTGGGATTTCGATCCTGCCACGCTCCTCGTGGGTCGCTTTGCCTGCTCAGACGTGGACGAGATCCGGGCATACTCTGCAGCAGCGGGCGCGGCGATGGTCTCGCAGATCAGACTCCATTTGTCATCACCGGGAAGCCAGCACAAACGATCTGGACCAGTTCCTCTTCGTGGGAACCAACAGTAGAGGAGATGCGGCAATTCCAGATGAGGATTTCAAGAAGCTATCCTACACAGAATCCAGGAGTGTGCGTCCATACAGGTCGCGCTTGGTGTATCAGCGGTTCAAGGCGATGAGGCAGGAACTCATCATCGACGAGTCTGGAGTTCATCACTACATACGTGCGAAGGATGATTTAGGCAGTGCAGTTGCCCCGTTTGTGGGAGCTCTTCACATCGTCCCGAATGGATCAAGGTTCGATGGCAGTGCACGTCGCCCAGTTGGAATGGTATCACTGGTTCGCTGCGACGGTTACTGCTTGACTGCGGCTCAATGTCTGGAAGGTTTCGATGGTGACGACAACACTATCTTCGTCAGCTTCCCACGGATGAGCGATCATTCGTGCTTTTACGAGTGTAAGATTGCCAAGGCCGAAGAGTTTGTGGTGCACTTGGAAGCTAAAGAGCAACCAAGCGTCAAGTGGTGGTTTGGACCGCGTCTGCCTCAGTTTTCAAGTTCAGCGGCCCCAACAGCACGCAACTCGTGGAGTGTCCGATGGTTGATTCGTTCGTATGTCCATTCGAGGGCATTGTATTGCAGAGCGCGAAGATCGACCACAAGCTGTCGCTAGGAGGTCCTGTTGTCAACTGTACCGGCGAGATGAGAGGGGTGATTATTGCACACAGCCTACTGAAGAAGACCAGCGACCGGAGAAGAAAAGCGAGATGAAAGTGCAAAGTGTTTCGGACTTGCAGGAGTTTCTAGATGATGCACTGAATGGAAGAACGTAAACAACAAGCTGAGCAGGACTCGAGGCGATGCAAATTATGAGAGTATTGGTACTTCTTTCTGGTTCTCATTCTTCCTTTTTCTTTCTTGTCTGTTAGAGTGGAAAAATTGCTCGGAACTCAGGAGGTTAGTCCAGTCTTGTTGATCTAGTAGTTACCAATGTATTCCTCGCTTGCAGAATTTATCGACAGCGCTGTGACGGAGTTTAATGCTCCACCGTCTAAGCGTCCGAAAGTTAAATACGTCCCCATGTCCGAGGAGAAAATCCAGAAGTTTTACAAGGAAGCTGTCAGAGAGGTTTTTAGATCTTGTTGTCAGGATAAGCAATGTGTTTGTCGCATTTTTGTTTTACTCCAAATGTGAATTGATGATCATTCCGCAAGATGCATGGATTCCAATGGCCCTGGATGGATTCGATAAACACATTCATACTGAATCATACACAGGGAAGGAAGTTTTTCCCGCGACTTTGGAGATTTAGGATAGGGTGTTTTCTTGCCAACGCTAACTCGCATCTCACGTGAGTTGCTAGACAGACACAGTCTATACACCTGTAGCGTTTCCTTTATGTCGATTTGCGATTCTGTAATCCCACGGGTTTGGAGGTTGGCATGGTGATGAGTGTTTTCTTCGCACCATTTTGGCTGGTACAGGCGCCCGTGCTCCTGGAGCTGATTAATCCATGACCGCCTGGATCATCCCAATGGCGGCCTTCTTGCAGATTTCCAGTACCGCGCAGCAGGAGGTAATTATCAAACGTACACTAAATAGCTTGAGAATGGCAAGAACGAAGAACAAAACTTTTAAGTAGAGATGTCTAGAGATCCATCCAGACTAAAACAAGAGAGTTTCTTCGAACCCGATATCCTATCTACAATCGCCTTTTCAAAAATAACCATCCAAGAAAAATAAATTAGAAAAATTCAAAACAATTATAATTGTGAGGGCCAAGTGTACAACTACGATGCCGTATACTAATATTAGCGTAGTGGATTTTGGTAGCCGTTAGATTGGTTTCAATCCGGACCACTCGCTCCTGTATATAAGCTAGGGTTTTTGGGCTAATTGATATGCACATTTCTGTATTCCCTTTCCATATTCCATGCACTCACATTAGTGGAGTTGAGGGGCACCTTTGATTGTCCCTAGGGAGTGCTTGGATTTAGGATTTCGGTTTAGATCTAGCTTTTGCATCATCTAAATCTCGCTTTTTCCATTTCCTTTCTTTTGTTCTTTCCTTTCAAGATTTTGGTTTAGATTTAGCTTTTGCATCGTCTAAATCTCGTTTTTTCCATTTCCTTTCTTTTGTTCTTTCCTTTCAAGATTTTGGTTTAGATCTAGCTTTTTGCATTGTCTAGATCTATCATTTCTTTCCAGCTTTTTTGTCATTTCTCTTCTTTTGCTCTTTCTTTTTAATTCATCTTCATGGCTGATCTGCAATCTCCTCTTTTGACTCTAGAGTAGCAGTTGGTTCAATTGCTTGATGCTATGCGCTTGCAATTGAACAACCAAACTCAGTTGATGGTGGTGTTCACGGCACATTGTACAACTCCTCCCGCTCTTGGTGCCAATCCTCGCGTTCGGCCGGAGTTCTTTCGCGGGAATCCTGGGGATGATGTGTACCATTGGTTCGATCACTTTACGGTGATTGCCACATATCATTCTTGGGATGATGCTCGACAGTTGCGTGAGTTTCCCACGTGTCTCCAAGGGACGGCGTTGCAGTGGTACAATGGTTTGAGCGTAGTCACTCATGGGGATTGGAGTGTTCTCCCGGACGTCTTCAAATGCGCCTTCGGACATGCCGATGATTGTGATGATGCTTTCCAACAATTGCATCGTCTTCGCCAAGGGCCATCTGAGTCGGTGATGCAATTTTGCGTTCGTTTCCGAAGTCTTTTGCTTCGTGTGGAGCTAAATATGTCAGAGCGGATCAAGCTAGGAATGTTGTGGCTAGCCCTTCATCAAGATCTTGTCGGACTTGTGCATGCACTTGCTCCTACCACCCTTGACGATGCTCTTCGTTTGGCACAACGTTATGAAACGTCGCCTCTTCCACTTCTCGCTGCACGTCCTTCCACTTCACTTCCTATGGGTGATGATCCTGTTCCAATGGAGGTTGATGCTGCTGCTGCTCGAGTCCAAGGACAAGTGCGAGGACATGGTCGTGGCCGTGATGTTTGCTGCTGGGCGTGTGATGAAGTTGGTCATACTTATCGGCGTTGCCGTCATTTTCCGGATTGGCAACCTCCATTTCCTGGGTGGAGACCTTGGCGTCAGCAACGTCCCCTGGGTGCTGCTGTAGTGGAAGGTCTGGACACCAAGATGCATCCCGGAAACGAGGAGTCGCGCGATTAACGGAGGGACCTTGCACAAATAAATCAATGACCCCTCCATCTTTCTTTTGAGAGTATCATCAAGGGGTTCACTCAGCACCAGTTCATCCAGTGTTTACTTTCCAAGCTCGTTTTTATAACAAGAGGTCTCCTATTATTCTCTCCGTGTTGGTTGATACAGGTTCGAGTTTATCTTCTATTGCTCGACCTGTTGCCACACGTTGTCGTCTACACTTGCGTCATGTGGCAGAACCAGTTTTCATTCTTTATGGCAACGGCCGTACACATGCATGTGCACAGGATGAGGTGGACCTGGTTGTGCATGTGTGCGATCTCGAGCTTGAGTTGCAGTCGTTGCGGGTGGTGCTGAGTCAAGCTTTTGACCTCATTCTTGGTATGGATTGGTTGCAACGCAATCATGCCAAGTGTGACTTTGAGGCTTCTCCCCCTTGTCTCATACTTCCTTATGTTTCATCCATTCCTCTTACTTTCATACCCCTTCGTCCCTCTACTTCTACCTCTGCTTCCATTACTTTTGTTCCCCCACTCTTTCCTTCTGTGTTTCCATCTTGTTCTGCTTTTCCCTTTTCCGATCCCTCCGACGCTCTTTGTGTTGTAGCAGTTGACCGGCTCATGAAGGAGTATTCTGATCTCTTTGAATTTGACCTATCGTCTGGGGCCAAGATTGCCACACGTCATCCGATTCCAACCGGGGATGCTCGTCCAATCAAGGTTCCTGTTCGTCGTCAGTCACCTAAGGAGATCAAGATTTTACGAGCAAACGTCAAGGAAATGCTGGAGAAGGGTGTTATTCGGAAGTCACGGAGTCCTTGGGCATGTGAACCTCATCTTGTGACGAAGTCTGATGGGAGTATTCGTTTCTGCATCGACTATCGTCTGTTAAACGAAGTGACGATCCCAGATGTGTATCCTCTTCCTCACACTGCTGATCTCTTGGATCGTCTGGGGCGAAGTCGTTGGTTCACCAAGCTAGATCTTGCTTCTGGGTATTGACAAGTATCGATGGCCGAAGAAGATATTCCTAAGACTGCTTTTCGTACACCATTTGGTTTGTACGAGTTCTTGGTGATGCCGTTTGGTTTGAATAATGCTCCAGCAACTTTCTAGCGGATGATGGACGAGGTTCTTTGCGATATGTCGGAGGTGACTGCTGACTTCATTGATGATGTCTTGATCCACTCGGAGGGGACGTGGGAGGAGCACGTTCGTGATGTTTGTAAAGTGTTGGATCGGTTACGTGATGTTGGTTTAAAGCTGAAGCGGTCAAACTGTGTGTTTGGGTCAAGGACACAACCTATCTTGGGTACCGTATTTCTCATGAGGGTTTGCAAATTGATCCTAACAAACTTGTGGCTGTTCTAAAGTTCCCTACTCTGAAGTGTGTGAATGATGTGCAACGCTTTTTGGGTAAGGTGCAGTATCTCGGTCGTTTTGTGGATCATCTTTCCGATCGCACTACACCATTGCGAGCATTGCTGAAGTCATCAACATCATCTTTCATCTGGTCTCCGGATTGTGAGCAGGCGTTCGTGGATCTCAAAGAGCTATTGATGACTCCTCCAGTTTTGGCATATCCTGATTACACTCGACCTTTTATTTTGCGCGTGGATACTTCTGACATTGGTCTTGGAGGTGTGTTGATGCAAGAGAGCTCGAGTGTACCTGGTCAGCGCCATCCCATTGCATACATAAGCCGTACATTACAACCAGCGGAGATGAACTACTCCACGACGGAGAAGGAGTGTTTAGCAGCAGTTTGGGGTTTCGAGAAACTTCATGCATATCTACATGGTTCTCGGACGTTACTTGAAAGTGACCATGCTGCTGTTACTTCATTATTGAAGCGGAAGAACCTGGTTGGTCGTACGGCTCGATGGGCTTTGAAGCTTCAGATATATGATTTCAATGTTGTTCATCGCCCAGGGAGTTCTATGGCTGATGCTGATGCCCTTTCTCAGGCTCCTCTTCCTTCTCCACTCACTTCTCATGTTTCTGACGAACCTGTTATTCCAGCGTCTATGGATTTTCTAGATGAAGATTCTATGCCATCGGCGGTTGTTGTCCTTGATGTTCAGTGTCCACAGGGCGCAGAGCAAGATCTACCTTCTCTTGATGAGGTTCGCGAGGCTCAAAAGATTGAGCCGTGGATTCGAAGGCTTCGAGATGGGTTTGAGAATCCTGCATCACTTGCTGATGACTTGCCTTTCCGGCATTTACATTCTCAATATCGCCTTGAAGATGGCCTTCTTTATTTTGTGGTGACAGATCCTGATGATCATTTACAATTGGTGGTGCCTTCGGTGTTTATTCCGCGGTTTCTCCATGCCTACCATGATTCTCCTGTTTTAGGTGGGCATATAGGACACCATTGTGTCACCGAGAAGTTGCGCAGGTCTTTCTATTGGCCGGAGATGCGACGTGATATTATCCGGTATGTGCGTAGCTGCGTTTGGTGCCAAGCTCGTAATACTCCCCCTTGTGCTGCGGAAGGATGGTTGGAGTCAATTGCAGTTTCCCGTCCGTTTGAGTTGGTAGCGTTTGATCTTATGGGACCTTTTCCACGATCGACTGCTGGCAATGAGTATGTTATTATTACTTCTGACTACTTGACTCGTTGGGTGGAAGTTGGTGCTCTTGCTAGCGCCTTTGCAACTGCTGTTGGATACTTCCTCCTCAATCGAGTGGTGTTCCAGCATTCTTGTCCAGAGCGGATTCTTTCGGATAATGGTCCTGCATTTATGGCTGAGGTATTTCATGTTTTGACATCTCGGTTGGGGATACGCCACACTTTTACAAGTGCTTATCATCCACAATCAGACGGTTTGGTGGAACGGCTCATTCGGACATTCAAAGGGATGATTGCGATGTATGTGAACTTTCAGCATTCGGATTGGGATGGTTATTTGCCATCTCTTCGGTATGCCTATGTCACAGGGGTACAGAGTTCTATTGGTGCTTCACCATATAAACTTCTATATGGTCATGATCCAATATTACCAACAGAGTTGGGTTTACCTTCACGATTGCCACGAGCTCCTGATGCTAGGTCATGGGATCAGTATTTGACAAGCATTCTTCCACTTGTCCGAGCAGAGTCTGCCGAACACTTAAGCCGCGTACAAGTGGGACAACAACAGCGCTACAACTCCCATCATTGTCCACCTGCGGAGTATAAAGTGGATGATTTGGTGTTAGTCCGTTTTCCCCATCTTACGGTACGTGGTTTATCTAAGGGGCTCCTTGCGCAGTGGAAAGGACCGTATCGGGTGTTATGGCAAGTTGAACCGCAAGTTTATGAGGTTCAGCATGACGTTCAGCAGGCCGATCCTCTGGAGATTGTGCATGTGTAGCGGTTAAAACGCTTCATACAAAGGGATCAGGAGTAGTTAATACCGTCTACAGATCCGCCGATGCCTCCTCCTGACGTTCCTCCAGATCCCGGCCCATCTACAAGAGAACCCTGATGGCATTTCATTATTCCAAGAGGAGGGGATGATGTGAGGGCTAAGTGTACGGCTACGATGCCGTATACTAATATTAGCGTAGTGGATTTTGGTAGCCGTCGGATTGGTTTCAATCCGGACCACTCGCTCCTGTATATAATCTAGGGTTTTTGGGCTAATTGATATGCACATTTCTGTATTCCCTTTCCATATTCTATACACTCACATAGTTAAATTTGGATGTGGATTCTATTCTTAAAGCCTATTCTGAGTTGTGTAGCTTAAGTCTTCATCTTCTCTTGATCAAAACCCTCTAACACCGCTGGCTGCCATTAAACCACCTAGGCTAACAAACAAACCATCTCTAGGAGTATCCATTGGACATTTAAATTTTCCTCAATTGAATTACAATGCCTTTGGATCTTGTCTCCATGCCTGATTCATTCGTTTCTTTGGCTGCTTCATCTTCCACAACTTACCACAGTAATTTTCAGAATCACACTCAAGCACACCAGGAGAACTCTTCCAATATCTTCGAATTTAAATCTGCTAGAGCTTTCATCGTCAACGTTTTCCTTCTCGTTATGCTTTTGAGCAGCAGCTTTTATGAGTGTAAGATTGCCAAGGCCGAAGAGTTTGTAGTGCACGTGGAGGCTAAAGAGCAACAAAGCTTCAAGACTTGCATGGCTACCTGGTTTGGACCTGCGTCTGGCTCCTAACAGCACGCAACTCGTGGAGTCTCCGATGGTTGATTCGTTATCCATTTGAGGGCATTGTAGTGGCGAGCTCAAAGATCGACCACAAGCTTTCACTGGGAGGTCCTGTTGTCAACCGTGCCGGCGAGATGATAGGGGTGATTATTGCACACAGCCTACTGAAGAAAAACAGCGACTCGAGAGGAAAAGCGTGCGTTACCTGGTTTGGAACCAAGATGTGTTTCGGACTTGCAGGAGTTTCTAGATGATGCACTGAAATGGAAGAAGCACTCGAGGTGATGCAAATTATGAGAGTTAAGTTCATTGGTACTTCTTTCTGGTTCCTATTTCTTTCTTGTCTTTTAGAGTGGAAAAATTGCTTGGAACTCAGGAGGTTGGTCGCGTGCATGGGAGCTGACTTCACTTCTCCCGCTCAGGAGTGGTATTCGCAGCATCCACTGACAGGTTCTTAAACATCTATTTGATTTTGTTGACACTAATGTATTTTTCGCTTGCAGAATTCATCGACAGAGCTTTGAGGCAGTTTAATGCTCCAGCGCCTAATCGTCCGACGTCCGCATGTCCGAGGAGAAAATCCAGAACTTCTACAAGGAGCAGGAAGCTGTCAGAAAGTTCTTCCATCGATGGAAAAACCCAATTTTCGCCTGTACATCTAAAAGACTCCTATTCTTTCGTTCACAATCGTGTGCTTCTTTCTCTCGGATGAGAGATCTGGAGGAATTTGGGAGTTCTTTCTCTAGTTTCTTCGTAGATCTTCTTCACAGATTTAAATTTGCATAAGCAAAGATCATGGTGAAAGCATAGATCGAGCGCCAGTTTTCTGTCGAGCAGGAGTGTGACCTCATGGAAAACGAGCTCCGCATCTTCCTAGCATATCTGCAAAGTTGGACGATGGAATAATGCAGCCTTTTATTAAAACAGAATATCTAGATCTTGTTGTCAAGACTGATTCTAATTGTCAAGATAAGCTCGAAAAAGCAATGCCTTTGTCTCATTTTTATTTTACTCCAGATGTTGTCTTTCATACAGGCCACCAAAATGCCCATAGTCTCAACCGATGATTATTCCGCAAGATCCTCTAACTTGCTGTCTACTCTTGGTGTATGATCTCGCTCGCTTTCTCCTAATTTGCTGACAGACACGGTCTATACAAGAAGACTGTGGCTTTTCCTCTACGTCGATTTGCGATTCTAATCTTTGCTTGGACGTTTTACATACGAGTGCAACGTGCCAAATTAGCATTCATAGGCGATGACTATGCATGGATTCCAATGGCCCCAGATGGGGACACGTCATGCCCACACATCGATGGACACATTCATACACAGGGAAGGAAAATTTTCCCGCGACTTTGGAGGTCGGCGGTTCGATTTATGATAATGGGTGTTTTCTTGCCAACGCCAAGCAACTCGCATCTTGGGCGGTATCTTTGGCTGGTTCACCGATCAAGAAGAAGCGATGGCGCCCGCGCTCTCTTCTCTCTTCTCATCTACCGGCGTGTAGCCGATCAATCCATGGCCGCCTGGATTACTGGGATGCTGGCGATCGCGGCATTCTTGCAGATTTCCAGCACCGCGCAGCTCAATCTCTCCAGCAACATCGAAATTCTGGGGTTTCTTGATGGCCAGGGCTCGGTCGCGATCGAGGGACTGATAGGGATTGGGAAGGAGGAGAGCGTTGCTGTGGCGGAGGTGGAGGAGGAGATTATCTCGTCGCGGCTGTCACAAAATTCTACTTCCGACAATTCAAGGCTCAGGGACTTGAGGCGCTCGATTTCTTCCCAAGCCTGCAAGTCGATCCCAACGGATTCAATCCCTTGCCAGATCGAGAATGAGTCTAATTCCTCCAGCTGCGAGCGCCGGCGCATTGAAAATCCCTGTCTCGTTCCGCTGCCACGGGGATACACGCGCCCGGATGCCTGGCCTTCTTGCGTCCACAAGGTTCGCGCCGCTTGCGATTCCTTCCCTCCAAGCGAAGAGGAATTCTAGGGTTTGATCCTTTCGATTTGATGCCAGGCAAGGGCGGAGAACATCGGCAATGGCGATCTTGCGCGGTCGACCGCCGCTGCGATCCAAATGCACGGCACCAAAATCTCGTTTCGATCTGCCGAACTGGACGCCGCCAGGAAATATGTCGATGAGCTCCTCCAGGTAGTAGTGGCATTCTTGAGATGTACAGAAGAATTCTTGCTTTCTACAGTCGCTACCAGGATTTGAGCCCCGGTTGGCCCTGAATCTAGAGGCCGGTGTGGGGAGCTTGAGCGTGGAGTTTGATAGACATGGAGTTTTGGCGCTTTCCATCGCATCGAAGAAATCGAGAGCCGATGCCATCCAGCTTGTTCTCGAGAGAGGCTTTCCCGGAATGGTCCAGAGTTTTGCCAGAGAAAGACTTCCATATCCAAGCGAGGCCTTTGATCTCATCCATTGTGGAAGCTGTAGTACGTCTTGGGCCAGGAAGAGTGAGTGAGCATTGGATGTCTAAGCAATTGACAAACTGGTTTCTTGCTTGCAGGAGCGTTGCATCTTTTCGAAGCTGATCGAATTTTGCGACGAGGTGGTCTTTTCGTTTGGAGCAATACATCAGGAAAAGAAAAACTATGGAACGGTTAGTCTTTTTCAGTTTTCTTTTTATCTTGATGGTCTTGATTGATAGAAGCTTTCTCTGCATTTGGCAGATATGTTGAAAGCAGCAGTTTCGATGTGTTGGATCCTGGCTTCGAGAAAAAACAAAGTTGCTATTTGGCAAAAGCCCACGAACAATTCGTGTTATCAGCTACAAAACCACTCGGTGTTTTGTGATCCTGGAAGTCCACCTCCTGATGATGCTTGGTAAAATACTCGCGAAGGGTATGTGATAAGCTGTTGGACTCACACTCAGGTTTTATGCTTTTCGCTGTCAGGGGCATTCCATTGCAAGCTTGTATATCCGGTCCTTCAAAACTAGCAGCAACAAGTGAAAGACGCAGCTGGCCAACACGATTGCTAAATGCGATGCGCCTCAAGACCATCCTTTCTTACAACAGCTTGAAGTTGGCCACAGTGGAGGCGTATGAAGCTGACCTGAACTACTGGAAAATGCTGACGGATTTTTACTTGACATCTTTGGGTCCATCAAGGATTCGGGAGATTCGCAACGTTCTCGATACAAACGCTGGATATGGCGGGTAAGAGAGAGGCTTCTTGCGTTTTGGAAGCTGATAAAGCTTGGAGATTGTTACGTAGGTTTGCTGCTGCATTGGCATCACGAAATCCTGCTCTGTCATGGTGGGTGCTCAACGTTTCTCCGGTGGACAATCCTCACAACCACCTCGCAAACATATTTGATCGAGGACTGCTGGGAGTTTATCACGATTGGTGCAAAGCTCTGCCCATGTATCCACGCTCCTTCGACTTGGTGCATGCTTCTCGACTCTTCTCCGCCAAGCACAAGTAAGCCCCTTGTGATAGTTTTGATTTCCGTAGTTGCTAATCGCTGATCTGGTGCAGTTGCTCAATGGTTGTCATCCTTCTCGAGATCGATAGATTGCTAAGGCCTGGAGGTTTTGCGATATTTCGAGATGACATAGGGACGCTGCTAGAGGTGAGGAGTATTGCCAACGCTTTGCATTGGAAGACAACGATTCAGGACACTGATAGTGGACCTCAGGGCAAAGATAAAGTCATGCATTCCCAAAAGACTTCTTGGCAACCATAGTGAGGCGAGAGAACTGTGTATTTTGTTTCCGAATTTAAGAGCACGTCTTCCATTCAGTTTCAACGTTGATGCTTTCATAAGGTGATCGGTGGAACTCGTTCATGCTGAGAATATTCTTTATTTCTAGTCAGTTCAACTGTCTGTATTTGCCGTCGCCCACTTCACGCCCATTTCATTTGGTCAGTAAGATGCAATGCTCTGGAGATCGCCCGGGTGCAGCGCCATCAGAGAAAATATGTAGCTCCGATACCATGTTGGAATGAGGAAGTGTGGACAATGTGTCTATTATGGATCCATTGTCCATGTTTCCTCATTCCTTCATGGTATCGTAGCTGCATATGTGCTTTGATTGGCTAGTTGTTTCCCACCTGGTCTAGTTATAATGCAAATGGAACGGTTCTAGTTCATGGAAAAGGATCTGTGGGACAAAGTTTCCAGAAGATAAGGGAGAACAACACAGGGGAAGGATCTCCTTGTGAAAAGTAGCATCTGACATTTTGGAGGCGCCAACCACGGCGACGAGGTGTCTCCATACACAGTGAGGACCTACGGTGTACAAGACGATCTTGGTCTTCAGTGCTACACCAAGGGAATACATGCAGGAAATCGTGAGCAAGAAAGTGGATCCAAGTGGCAGGCTTCTATTCCGCAGAGGACATGGAGTGGATGCAGAGTCCAGCAAGCCGGGACAGGATTAAGGACTTGAGGACTGGACAAGGGCTTGAATAAGCTTGTGTGGCTGATGACACTCCCTACAATCCATCCCATGAGCGGGATCGTGGTGTCACCTTTCATGGGTGATCCTGGTGACTAGGAGCTGCAGGAACTTGCTAAGTGTCGGGATGTGGTTGATGCTCTTCGCATCAGGACACTGATAACGTCGGGGCAAAGATAAAGTCATGCATACCTCTATAGTAAAGCGAGATCGTTTTGAAAGAATTGTGTATTTTGTTAACACGTCTTACAAGTGGCATGGTTTCATACTTTTCCATATCGCCAGTATTGTGCCCAGCGATGCATTGTATCCACCACTTGAGGAAAAAGAGCATTAACACTCTCGTTTATCAGTAATTGGAAAAACTGGATAGCTTCCTCGTCGTCCAAAGATAATTGGAATTTTTCTTGCAACTACAAGCAAAACACGGCACGATTACTGCTGCTGACATACAAGGAAAACTTACCTTCAAGATTGCAACTTCGGAATTTGACATTAAATAGAAGAGGTTCAGTATTAAGTTGCTGGACTTCCTCAGAATGTTGAATGCCTCACAGCAGTATAGCTTAAACTTCCCGTAGTATTCACTGTAAACGACATGGATAAATTGGTTTGAAAAAGGACAAATCCCGTTACCTGTTAATACCTCCCATGGCGTCGACCATTTCTTTACACAGCTTCATAGGTGGAGGGAAAGGCTTTGGATCCTTGCCAAGAATGAAGCCAAAATCTACATGAAATAATCGTCCATCGTCTCTGATCAGTAAGTTTTCCAAGTGCCTGTAGATGGAGAAGCTTCAAACCCGTTAACAAGCACTAACAAGAATGCTTGCCTGTCTCCCACACCCAAAATGTACGTTATAACACAATATCCAGCGCAGCTCTTCACAAAAGTTTCGAGACATGGTGCGCTGATCCCGAATTGACCCTCTGGATCGGGATGGCATTGTCGAAAGTAGTTGATAATAGACCTGTGACGGACCAAAATCTGCAACAATAATTAACGCCTGAAAAGAAGAAGAAGAAGAAAAAAAAAACAACAAAAACAAAACAAAACATACCGTTTGCAAATTCTTTGATCCTGTCACGAACTCGAGCAATCCCTCGTCCTTGTTGGTAGCAAGAACCCTGTAAGGCGTGAGCTGCAGATCAAGGTTCTCCACTTTCAGAAGCTGGTCCATCAGAGTGATAAGTTGGATCACCTATAACGGAGTAAGTTACTTTCCTCGCAAAACAACGAAAAAAGAAAAAGAAAAGCTCACCAGCTGATCTTGTTGGAGATCATCACCTTTTTTGAACATGACCTTGCAGCTTCCACCAGCCACAGTTCGAAAAGTTAATACTAGTGGACTACGTGAACTCGTGAACACTGATGATTCACGTGGTACGATCCCCGTGATTATAATTTTCGGATCCAAGGGGGAAGGCAGCTCCTCAAAGGAGGTCAAGTCGCTAAGCAGTTGACGAAGCTTCTCGTCCTTGTCAGCAACATCCTTGACAGCCGTGGTAATACTGCAGAGCTTAGAAACAAGCTCAGTTTGACGGTGAAGCTGGTCCAGCAGCGGCTTTCCACTATAATCCATAGGCTTCTCCTGAAACAGAATTTATAGCAGAAGGAAATCAATATAACATGCACACACCTTCAACATCTGTGTCTCAAACAAGTCGTGCACGGAAAAAAATCTCTTCGTTTTGTTTGATGGCTCTGTCGCTTTGGCGAGTTCCTTCATCACATACCAATGAAAAGAATTAGCCAGGTCTGGGATTTGCACCGCTGTAGGAAGGTTGTTTGTCAGACCAGCCAGACTTGGTAGCACAAGAATCGGCTTACCTTTCTGTACCAAAAAATAAGCAAGCGGGGACTTGTCACATCGTTCAAACTGAAGAGCTTGTACTAGCTGCAACCAGTAGCACTGCAGCTCCTCCGCCGTTGTTTTCTTCCTCAAAGCCTCAACTGCATATGCTCGTACCTGGAATGCACCTAACGTGGTAAGGATAAAAGAAACTGCTGTGGGACTAGTACCTCCTCACTCTCAAAATCAGCAGATAAGAGCTCCAGAGCATCTGGAATATCAACAGGTTCCCACTTATGCATCAATTCCGTCGCTTGCTTTGCTTCCTGCACGAATAAAGAAGTAATCAGGAGGAAAAACTCCAGAGTACACCACCTGTGCGTCATTCCAATCAACGCATCGAAGAAACTTTGTAAGCGCCTTTTTGTCGGTCGACAAGTAGAAACGAAATTTCCACAGTAACATTTTGTCATCGCTAGTCAGCTTTTGCGTGGGAGGAGAATTACACACTTGCATGAGTACTCTGCAAAAACATAATGTCTGAAAGAAACACCAATGACGAACTGTAGCGCACCTCTTTTCTTTGGAGCTCGGTTTCAAGTCCGGGTCAATGACAAGTCTTGAAATACTTCGAGCCAGTTTGAAGTGCTTGACCTCACAGGGATTTTCACGACCAATCTCGGTATCCCATAGTGCACACAAAGTTCTAGAAGTCGGTGGCTGAGAAAGTAACGCTTCAGCTCGTTCCTGGAACAATTGTAAGTTACAAGGGAGAAAAGCGGAAACACGAGGTAAAACCTGGTACTCGACGGCGTGTCCGAATGACCACAACTTCACTGTCAAAAAAAAATGAGTGCTGCTCTTTTTCTGCTCTGCCATGATCTTGTCGATAGCTTTCAAAGCCGAGTTGTCCAGCCAGTCAATGTGTTCGATCTCTCCTCTTTCATACTTCGAAAGGAGCTTGTCAAGACGTTCCACTTCCCCTCTCTCACCTTCCGGCACCTGAGAATACTTCGTTTGGCCAGTAAGTGATCTAAGCACGTAAATACCTTGCCAGGCGTGGTGCTTACAGCGGAACCATCGGCAACACGCCCTCGCCAAAGCCTGAGCCTCTGCTTTCCAGTTTTAAGCTGTCCCTTACTGTTAAATAGCTTAAGAGTTGAACCACCTACGGCGATTTCTTGCAATGGGTTCGATACATCCCACACCTGTAAACAAATGCATGGTCACAAAAACGACACAAAGCGGAAAACACTACACTTAACAGTGAAAGCTAGCTGCGCATTCAAAGACAAATCTCTGTACTTTCCAGTAAGTGTGATCGCCTCGTTCCACTTATAAGGCTTTTCGATTGCCAATCTTCATGGGAATCAAAAAAATTAAAAAATTTACCACGTAGATTTAACCATACCCAGTTCTTGTGACGAGGCCAAAAGGCGATCCATCAATGTAAAGCGCGCATTCCACATAGAGCGCAGGAGAGAGATCTTCTGCAGTGGAAGGAAAAGAGTATATAAATAATAAAATTTTCCCTTGTACCTTGAGAGCTTGGAGGCGAGCGCAAATCTCCCTGCAAGGACTCTACAAGAGCTGTTACCGGAAAATTGATATCCGAGGAGAGGAACACTTGATCCATTCGTTCCCCTTCTGCTAAGAAGCCCTAAGCCCTAGGTAATAATGGAGGGAAGTTCAAGCGACTAAGGCCAAGGGCCGTCGCTTGCGTGAGGAGGGGCAGCCAACAGACTTGTCCTTGTTCTGTGACGATGATCTTGGCTGCCTCCCGGAATTGGCACTGCTTCTTCTCTTGCTGGGCGGAGGAAAATCTTCCCAAACAAAGAATTCTGTCGAATCGATCGTTTTGGCCCCAACTTCTGGAGCAGTGTAGTGCTGCGCGCGTGGTCCCTGCAGAGAATCGAGCTTCACCTGTTCTAATTTCTCCGCAACTACATGCTGATTGCTCTCACTCTCATCTTGTAGCGGCTGTCGATCCTGCTGCTGCTCGGGACCTAATTCTACCTCACCGCCGAGCTCCTCGGGATGACACACAAGCTGCAGAAGCTCCGCCTTGCGGACAATCTCCTCGATTCTCCACCCGATCTCCCAGAGTTGCTGCTGCGCCATTGCTCTCTCGCCAGAGCCCTAAAAGCGTTTCCCGCTCTACGCTTTAATTTTAAAATTTAAGCCCGTTAGAAGTGCCGAATTCTAAAAATCATCCAACGGTCTGTAACCCTGCAAATTTCTAGTATCTCAACTAGTGCCCCAGTGCGCTCTCGTAGTCTCCCTGACGAAAGAATGCATTGCCTTGGGCCTAGAAACAAGAAAAGTTCTCACAAACAACTAGAACAAAGATTGAAAGATTCATCAATTCCACACACATGAGCACTATGAGTTTATCGGATGATAACTGCATTGAAATATTTTTTGTGTTCCAATCTAAAATCCCAATTTCCGCCAGGGTTAAGAAAATAATGTATGAATTCATTTATTTAAATATAATTTTTGTACATAAAGGTATAATATAAAAGTTTATATGAAACTAATTTTTAGAAAAACAA